ACGCCAATCTTGTCAAAACTACAACAAACACGTCGCTACTGACAACATCTTGTTATTATTTCACCATGTATGACACATATGTTGGTTTTAGATGATTTTATAGGTTATGTACATAAGATCGTTGCACATTGATCAGAAATCCAAAAAAAACCTGGCGAAAAATCTAAAAAAGTGATTACAATTTTTTAACTATGAGCGTTCTTAATCCGTAAAGTAGAGTGGTCTAGGGACTTTACAGTTTTTATACGGTGAAGCCTGCTCATTTTCGCGTTCATCATACGCTCTGGTATTCGAAAAAATGTGTATCAGAAAGCAAAATTAAATTAACTTTGAGTTAGCCGATTTGTGGGAAAAAAGCGCCGGTATTTTAAATTTAATTGTGATTATCGGTAATTTATGTTACTCAAAATCTGTAGGTAATACTTGTACAATAAGAAAAATTTTTAATTTTTTGCAGTTGCTTTTTAAATTAGCCTAAAAGACGTTTCCAGGACATTTTTGAATACGCCAATAAGTCTCGCATTTTTTTACGTTTGACTTAGAACCTTGTGATGGAGATGTGCCGGCATGAAAACTAACGGAACGTTTTAAAAAAATATTTCGCAAATATGACTTGCGACCCTTCGGATTGATTCCATATGCACCAACTTAAAAAACAATTTTTTAAAGCAAGATAAATTCTAAATACAAAATATTTTCTTCACTACTATACTTTATCCATTTTTCTCCACATACCTAGCACTATATTTACTCAAACATGAAATACAAACAACATCCCACTCATCAATACGTTTACTCCTACGGATAACTTATCCTGTTAGCAGTGCGCATGTGCAAAACCTGCATATACTGACTCACACATTTGAGGTGCCCGGCGCTATTTCTCCTGCTGAATAACACCCACTCCTACCTACGTATCAACGTACACAAATACATCATTGGACTGAGCCATAGTGCTGTAACATTTTCTGTAAAAGTAAGAAAAATAAAAAAAGAGTACATAGTTCACATTTTTGTTTCTGCTATTTTTACACCAATGGTAGTGCGTCATACTTTTATTTTTCAATGAGAGGCGCGTGTGGTCACTATTTACTCTACGGGGGTGGCGCTTAAATATTAATTTAGTTTGGACGGGTCTTCGCGTGGATACATAGAAGTTTAAATATACATACCTACATTTGCTACATATGTATGTATTCATGCGAAATTAAATTAACGAACCAACTGTTGCATTTGTTTTCTATACAGTTATATTTATGAATTTAAAGATAACTTTGGCCACAAAATAGTTTAGTCTTATCTAGTTATATAGACCATCTACCCGTTCACCCTTTGTAAACTGAAGTAAAATGTTTATTTTGTTACAACACGCAAAAATATGAACTACCAAGTCGGAGATGCTCTATGTTTTCGTCGTATTACCGACTTCCGTCTTGGCCGGAAGTGGGCTAAACTGATCAGACTTTAACCATTTTCTAATAAAAATAAAAATTCTCTTTCTAATTCTGGCCTTGGCGGTCTTTTCCAAAATCTGTTCCAACTTAAAAAAAAAATATTCAATTCGGTTAAAAATTTACTCTTCCAGCCTATTTTGAACAAAATCAGTCAATAATTTCCTACTATGCAACGGCGTAATATCCCTTCTTGTGGATTGTACAAAGCACACTGAGATTCCAATCTTCAGCATATCATCCGTCTATGTCTATCAGAAATTGATCACTTTGGTTCTTCGTTTTTTGCCATACCTTATTCAGCCGTGTCCCGTCAATTGCATTTCCTCGACAGGTGGCCGATTTGTCCAAAATAATTCGTACTACAATTTCCAAATTCTTTTAAATTTGTTAGAATTTTTTGATAAACAACTCTTTCTTAAAACTTTTCTTTATTAATTTTAAAACTGGTAGCAACTCTGCTAAAATGTGTTTCTGTTAAAGTTTTATGTGGTGGGATGGATTGGATTCTTTTTTTGATTTTATTATAATTTCATGGCAGGTGGCAACTCTAAAAAATTATATCCGGTATCATTTTCTCTAAGAAGTGGTTTAGGCTTAAACCATATTAAATGAAAGTTTAAACTTAATTATAAAATACCTTGTTAAAATATGTGTTTGGATTCACATTTTTCTAATATTTTTTTGGGGCCAGCAATATTTTTAGTTTTATATTAATCACTTATTAAATTCGTTTTATTTTGAAGACAGTTTGCAATTGTACTTAACTTTTCAAAAAAAAAAACATCTTTAAGAAACCGTTTTTATTCATAAAAAAACTCCATTTTTAGTCCAGCTCTCTTAAATCTTAATATTTTCCGAAATATTTTAACGGACGTCTTAAAATATAATAGTTTTCATAATTCCAGTGGAAAAACAGTACCGATTTTTTTTGTATGATGAGTGATGCGGTCTAATGTACATACATATATGCATGATAAAAACATAACAAGGTAAAACCATTGAGAGGCAGTCTGACGTTTGCCAACAATATAATTTTAAAATCAAAACTCTAACTCACACACACATTCTCATTTTCAATCTCAAACAACAACAATTGTGAACAATTTAATTTTTTTATTTTCAATTTTATATGATTTTAAAATGTTGGCAAACGTCAGAAAAAAATCATGGCCGACGAAATGAGAGAATGAATTTACCTTGTAATGTTTTTATCATGCATATATGGGTGTTTCCTTAAAAATGAAAACCGAAGAGGCAAGTAGATGAGTTCAAAATAACTTTAAATTTCGTATTCAGTAGCTCGTTTCTGTAACAAGTCTCTACCAAGGCGAATTGAGATATGAATTCGCCGCCCTGTTCTCTACTGCTAATTAGTAGGTGAGAGTGACGTATTTTCTCTACCAGTAGAGAAATAATCGGTAGAGAAAAGTTACAGAAACGGGCTACAGATGTCGAAAAAAAGGTTATGAAAACGCAAAAAATGTATTCATTATGTGTTACTAGTAAAAATATTGTATGGGGAAAAGATCTGTCGCTTACGATATGTTACGTCCGTTCTCACATTTTAATTCAAAACTATACCAACAAAACGAATTAATTTTGATTAAAAATGAATTCTGCTAGTGCTGCTATCACTTTCTAGCGCTTAGACTTTCTCGCTTTTTCCATTTTTCCTAATAAAATAATCGTGGTAAGAAGCTCAATAAAAAATATTAAAATTATGTGTTGATAAGCCACAATAACATTGATAAATTGTACTATTTAAATAAATCAGCGATATGTATAAATGTAGTGCTATTTAAGGCCGCTTTTTCAAGTAGGTTTTCAAATTTATCTGCCCTTTAGTTAATCACAAATTTTGTACTGAAAAAATGTGTTTGAAGGGCAGATAAATTGTATACCTATTTGATAAAACGGCACTTACAATGATTTAGTTTTATATGAATATGTACTTATGTTACGTGTGTATATTATCAGTCGATAGTAGCAGTGTGTCAAAGCTATAAATTTTCTTTATTACAGCCGCGAATGCTTTTCGAAGAAAATATAAATTGATAACTAGCTGCCAATACCGAAACCGATTATGCTATGTAGTGGAAGAAGTACAACATACAGAGTTGTGGCTACGACATCGATTTTATTTAATTTTTTTTTTAAATTTGAAGCCAAGAACGATAAATTTTTCTAAAGTAAGCACTTAAAGTGGACAGTAGAAAATAGTTACACACATGCAATCAAATAAACTTCCTAAGAACCAATGGCGATTTTATTTACATACCTTTGTATGTATTTTATGGTGCCTCACCAAAAAAAAAAAATTACCAGTTTTTCTACGGGAATTATACAATTTATTAGATTTTATAACTCCTGCCAACTTATTTCGGTAAAATATTAAGATTTCCGTGAGCTGGCTCGTTTTGAAAATATCTCCAAAAATATAATTTTTTATAAGTAAATTTATTTTTTATTTTTAAATCTCCGCAGATGATAGAAGAATTGCAGCTTAAAAGGAGTGCATAATTTTACCCGAGCGCACTTGTGCACCAGAGTATATTAACTTTGTTCACATAACGGTTGTTTGTAACAGCCTAAAGGAATCGAGTAAGATATTGACAAATGTATACATAAATGCTCAGAAAGAAAAGAGAAGTCTATTAAGGCATGTCTGTCTGTCCGCCCATCCGCACGTGTAGGTGTGTAGGTTGCCCTTTTCCAAGGTAGGTTGGTATTGAAAATGGGCGAAATCGGACCACACACACTTCCCAGTCTTTCCGAAAAATGCAACAACTACGATATTTTAGTAAATATTGGATCCAACTTGCTTTGTTAAGAAATATTTTTATTACGAAATATTTGGGAAATGGGCGTGACCACGCCCACTTATAATGAAATGCTGTATTTCAGTAGCCGCTCCACCAATCCTCGATAAGATCCTTGCCTAGGGTCTAGCTAAGAAATATGTTTAAAATCTTTAAAAACGGTCAATAACTACGCCCACCAACCATATAACGGTAATATAACGAAACAAGAAAACTGCGGTAAATCAGTAACTACTGAAGCAAATGCACTTAAAATCGATTATTGCAATAACCACTTAGCAGAAAATTAGATTATTATAAATTTTTGGATAATGGGCGTGGCACTGACCTTTTATGACTACAAAGTTCGGTAACCACTTTATCGATTCCTACCAAACTTGGTTCAATTATTTCATTAAGTCTACCTCAGCATATTTTCGAAAACCTTTTAAATCGGGAAAATCATGCAGAGTTATCAAGTTTTTTTTTTTTTGTATGCACCCTAATGTGCATATCTAAGCTTTTACGCGAAACATAAAATACAAAGTTGAAGATGTTTGGCATAAAACTGGCAGAATTTTTTGGGCTAAAAATTAATTAGATAATCTCAATGTACTTGTTACGTTTTTTGACGTACATTTAGGGCATTACATTGTAAAAAGAATTTAACTAAGTCAACTGCCATTGAGCATTTAGTTACGGTCGACACCTTCGCATGTTCGAATTGTGAAATTATAGTTAAGCAATTATGTGCATTGTTTGGGTATTTGCGCTGCTTTCGGTAGTTGGTGCTGGTTTAGCGGTACCGCTTAGCCAGACCATTGGCGAAGACCCTGAGCTGATAGCTGGCTACTTTCAAGGCGATATTGTGCTGAGTTATTCGGATCGCAATGGATTACGTAACGAAATTCGACGCTGGCCTAACAGCACTGTCTATTACAAATTCAACGATGGGGTTTTCGGTATGTGGGCGTGATTTTTTTGTATAACTAAACATCGATATACATAAGTATATGTATATATATGGATATGTGCTCTTATTTGTTTAGATGCGGCGCATCGTAATCATATTTTGCGAGGCATGCGAATCTTGGAGGAGGTTTCATGCATCCGCTTTAAGAAAGCCACTGCAGACCAGAAGTATTATGTGAATATCACCAACAATAAAGGCGGATGTTATTCGAATGTTGGTTGGTTGAACCGCATTCAAACGTATAATCTTCAGCCTCATGCTTTGAATACCGGTTGCTTCCGTCTCGGCACAATCGTACATGAGTTCCTACATACCCTCGGATTTTTCCACATGCAGAGCGCTGCGAATCGTGATGAATATGTGCGCATCGCAACTGAAAACATTCGTCCTGGCAAAGAGAAAAGTTTCAAAAAATACGAAGAAGGCTTTGTCGATGATTTCGATGAGGAATACGATTATGGTAGTGTGCTACATTATTCAGCGTATGCGTTCTCGGTAAATGGTAAAATGACTATAGTACCGTTAAAGGATGAAGCGGTCGGTTTTATGGGTCAGCGACGTGGTTTGAGCAAAAGTGATATCAATAAATTGAATAAAATGTATCGCTGTCCGTTAACAATTTAAAGTAATAAAACTATGAGAGGAAATTTATAAAACTCTAAAATGTTGTGTCCGGTTAATTTTATTATTATTTTTTTTTTGCAGATAATAATTAAGAAAAGTGGGAAAACCCCCTTAAATTAAAATTCAGTGCGAATATTTAGAAAACAAAATTTGAAGAATTTTTACTCAACATTTTTTTCCACTGTGCGACTTCAAGTGATAGCTAGTTGCCCTGTTTGAAACGTCGTTTAGTATCCACTGCTGCTGACTTTAATGAGCCTTTAAAGTGAATAAGTGGCACCACCGTTTCTGCACTCTTTTTTTTTTGCTTCGCGTAGCGGAACATTTAGAAGTGGGAGTGGTAGAACGTCACCGAAAAGCAGTACACGTTTTCCTCTCCGTTTTTCTCGGAGCGACTTTTTTTCAAATACATAGGTGGATACATAGCTCAAGATCTACTGGACCGATTTTGCTGAGTTTTTACCAAAAAAGCTCTTATATCGTCGCTTGACATTGGGATTTTTTTATTCTATGTTCCGTGCTTATGAATTTGATTAACTAAACATTTTCAGGAGAATTCGTGTAATTTTCTTTAAACCACTGCCCTTTTTTGCACAAAAAAAGATCTTAAAGTTTCTTCCCTGCGTAGCGCCATAGCTACTACTACCTTTTTAAATAAGAAAGTCAATTCTTTGTGTAATAGAGAAGTCTTGTACACTATTTTGGAAAAAGGGGTCGGTAATGGATGGATGCCTAATTAGGGTGGTAAAAAATAAGTAGAGTCGGAGTTTTATGCTCTCACCCCCTAGAGCTATTCTATATCGAAAAAATATAACCCTAGTTCTATTTTTTTGGAAATTTTAAAATATTTAGAGGTCGCTCAAAGCGATTTAAGTTTTTCTTTTATTTTATATGGTATAGAATTCTTGAAAATCTATAGTTTTCGATTAGAAAACTCTGGTTCTCTTCAGGAGACTTCCGATAATACTCAATTGTTTGCATAGCCATTTTTAATACTAAGGATTTTTTATTCATCCCCCATTGCATTTTCTGGCGTTTTCTGGGGGTCCTGGTGGACCTATAAAATATAGTTTGTATCAAAAAATGGTTAAATAAATACATAATTGGGTATTATTACTGGGAATCTCCTGCAGAGCAACAGAGTTTTCCGATCGAAAAATATTGATTTTCAATAATTCTATACCGTAAAATACATGAAAAACTTTGAGCGCTTTGAGCGACCTCTAAAGGTTTTATTTTTTTCGGTATAGAACAAACCTTGGTGGTGAGAGCATAAAAATCCGGACTTCACTTGCAATTTTGGACCACCCTGATGACTCATTATCAAACATCGACGGGATTTTTTACCAACTTGAAACTTGCAATTCATCGTAAAATAAAAATATATAAAATGGGCTACACAACATACCAAACTTGTTTTTAAAGATTCTGATTAAAAAATTGGAATATTTAGTGAAACGGTGCAGAATTTTTATAATTGTTGTGCAAAGTTTAAAATATGAATGTATGTATATGGTGTTTGTTGTATAATCAGCTAGGCTTTTATAAAAAAGTAATAAATATTAAATAAACCAAAGACAAATGGTCAAAATATCGCACTGCTATTATTTTGTGGACAACTCTAGGCTGTGAGCTAAATAAACATATAGCATATTTTTAAGAGAGTTCCCACACTTTTTTGAAAGTAAGAATTAATAATTTAAGAGCAGATCCTAACGATTTTTTTTATAAAGGTTGCCTCCTGTTCGAAAATTTAAAATCAGTTCAATTAAAATTTCCAGCGAAATATTTCACTTTGGGTATGAAACGAGAAAGTTTTAACAAAGCTTCATTTCAAAAATGTTTTCAAAAAGGTTGTCATCTATTTGAAAATTGAAAATCAATTTAATAAACAAGTTTAACGAAATATTTGAATTTGGGTATCATCAAACGAGAGAGGTTTTAAGACAACTGTATCTATGCATAGGGAAAACATTTTTGACAGGGGTTGCCGCCAGCTTAGAAATTTAAAATTAATTTAATTGAAAAGTTTAAAAATCTTGCTAATGTTATATGTGAATGTTTTTAGATGAGTGTGTAAGTATGTTGGCTGCTCCAGCTCGTTTTTAAGAGGATTCCACTGCTTAAAAATTTAATTTCTAGTTCAAGTGTGAGAATAAAAAAATTTTGGTACGAACATTTTTTTAATAGAATCGCCAAATTGCTGGCAATCGAATTAGTTTAAAAATAATAATAGATTGGTGCTTAACCAATATGTTAGTGTTTGGCTGAACTTTTGCGATTTGTGGCGTGCGCTTTGATGTTGTCACACTTAGTTTTAGGCCGACTTCGAAAGGCGATTGTATTTTTATGACAAGCTTTTTCATGGAAGAAATACACATCTCGAACTAAGTCTTAATCGTGACCAAGCACATCTGTTCTGGAACCTTGAGAAAGTAAGCCACTGTTTGAAATAAATTATAATTTTTGTTGATATAATTTATTTCCTTTTTTATTGCATTAGAAACCATAACGTTAAACCGAACCTCATGCGGGCGGAACTGACGCCAAGAGCTACCCTGCAGGAAATGTATCTAACTATAAGCTAACTGTAAGTTGGTTGGGAATTAGCTAAAAGTCACTTATTATCTGTATAATTTCTTTGACGAAAGCTAACCATATTTCTATGGCGATGGCCGCGAAATAGTCAAGGGTGGTTTACCTCTACATTTTATGTAACTAACTTGTAACTAGCTACTTTTGGACATAAAATACCAATAGGAAAAACAAAATATTTTTTTTATTTTTTTATTTTTATTTACTTTATATTACATTTCATATTTGTTTCCATATTCTACTGTAGGTGGTCCCATATTCGAACTCCGTCAGACATAACTTCAAAATGATAATATGAAATTTCGATTTCCTTTTATTTGTCCTCAATTCGAACAGGATATTTAAATAGAAATGCGTTTGAAGAAAATAATCTCGAGCTTTACTCCTGCATTACTTGTCCACTTGCTTCAAGTTAGCTTTTTGTAGCTAACTACAAGTTATATAATTTATAGAAATCCCGCAAAAAAGCTAACTACAAGTAGGTTATTTTTTATCTATTGAAAATTTTTCTCTACAGGGTAGTAATACATTCATACATACATACGTACATACATACATACGTACATACATACATACGTACATACATACATACATATGTAGGTATAATCTTTACTTAACAAAAATTGTGTCAAACCTCAAGTGAACAATAAATTACCAAGATAGGTACGTGTGTATGCATGCTTTATATATGTATGTATATCATTCAGCTATCAATATTTTAGTGGACAATGTTGCAGTCAGTGAATCATTCCACGCATCGTTCCATTACGTCAAATTGCCCCTCGCTTTTCAACCGCTCATAGGTACTCACAGTATGGCCACTCATCTCTGCTTTGCGCTTAAAAACAATACGTAATTCCCAATGCAATCAAGTACAGACAACAAACAGTAGTACCCGCATCAGCAGGCAAATCAAAGCGAAGAGTTGAACAACAGCAGTAGATGAAGGCAATCATTGTACACAATGCATATGTATGTATGTATTTATATGTGAAACATGCATATGGAATACAATACAATAAACCAAAGGAAGAGGACAATTAATATATTTTCTTTTTTTTCTTACTGTCGCTACTTATTTTTAAAGATTTTATTACTTGTTTATGATGACACTTGTGCCGTGAATGCTGCTGCTGCTGCTGCTGCTGCTGTTGCGGTTATTGGTTTACAAAGGCGCATACAAGCGTGTGTTTGTTTAAGTGCCTTTATGCTGCTGTTGTTGGCGTTGATTTCTTTTGTTTATTTATGTTTTTTGTTTTACTTTGTCCCATTGGGCGTTTCATGTGATGCGAAAAACTTTTACAAGCACGTAATCGAAAAAGTTTTTACGTTTATTCGAACGCAACAACTCTTACCTTCAGATTTCATTTCACTCGACAAGAGGGTGTACTTATCCAAACTTATATATGCATATAGTTATGTAGACATATGTGCATAGGTACATACATACATATATGTTGTGGCTATAGCTGAGTGTGCAGAGATGCTTGCTACTATTTGTTAGCTTTCAGGGGACTCCGGGTTCGAATGCCATTAGACGGAACTTATATGTAATTTTGGGCGAAAAATTCTCCAAAAATAAAACTGCTTAAAGTAAACAAAAGGTATTTAGGCGCCGAATGATATGTGGTTTAGTTTGAAACAAAGGGGATATTGTTTTTTTTCTTTAGAAATAGGAGAGCAGGAGTATACTGGGAGCAAATAAATATTTTAAAATTATTTGTATCGTTCAGTAAAATTATGTAACTACATATATTTTTCCACTTTGATTTTTACTTCAAACTTAGCTCAGAACCCGATGACAATGCCATATGAAACTGAATTAATCCGCTAGGTGGCACAGGTGGCGAGGTATTTGCCAACCCCGTATTTATATCCCGATATGGTTCACATTTAGATCATATGTTACTTATATGAAAAGAAATAACACCGTAAAAAATTTTTCCGGTAGGTGGCGCAGGATACCAGTTATTTGGCAAACCCGTATTTCCTGTCTGATTTAGTTCGTATTTAAAATATACATTACATACATGGAAAGCAGTAAACCCACAAAAATTTTGCCCGATAGGTGGAGCAGCAGTCGATATTTTTGGAAAATTCGTATTTATGGTCCGATTTGTTTCATATATTGAACATCTATTAATTATATGGAAATAAATACCTCCCCAACAAATTCAGCCGTTAGGTGGTACGGAGGCGAGTTTTCTTTTGGTTACTTACCACTAATAAAAGCTTGTCTTGAAAAAACTTGAATTTCTTGTTACCTAAATAAGTTCGCTTGAAATTCATATACACTCAGTGCTAATTCGCCCTGCAAAATCTCAAAGATGCATTGATTTTCGAAATCGAAACCAAAATTGAATCGCTATCGGCTTATTCGGACGCAAGCACATTTTTTCTCAAAC